TAATAGCTCTCTATCTATCTATCTATCTATCTATCTATCTATCTATCTATCTATATAACTGAATAGTTTATGCAGGGATTTGCACTTTTGGTTTAGCAGTGTGATTTTTTTTTCCGTATTAGGCGCAACTTTAGAAACTGCAAGTCTCTTCTGATGTGAAAGAATTGGCTGTCTGCAAGGACATTGCCCAGGGGGCACCTAGATATTTTACCATCCTGTGGGAGGCTTCTCTCATATTCCCACATGGGAAGCTGGAGCTGAGGGACGGGAGCTCACCCTGCTCCCCAGATTTGAAGTGCCAACCTTTCAGTCAGTAGTCCTGCTGGCACAAGGTTTTAATCCATTGTGCCACTGTGTACTTCTGAGTCACCTGTTATGGTGGTCCATGGGATTTCAAAGATTACCAAACTGTTTTAGAGGGACTTGGGAGTGAAGAAGAATTGCAAAGATCAGCAGCCATCCTCTTCCTCCAATGTAAGTGGGACTCTGTCAAGGGCTTTTCTGTCCCCAGCTGCATGTTCCAGTCACTGCACAGCACTGTACATTTTGATTTCCAGCCCACCCTATTGTTTTAACACAGCTGCACAAGCTGTTGCAAAAAAGAAAAACACCCTAAATAAACCAACAACAGCCAATGTTCTTAGTTATTATTGTTCCTATTACTGTCATATTGTTTTTTGGCTGACTTGTATCACCTCATAGTAGTTCATAGCACAGAAAATGCATTACCATGACAACTCCTAACCAAAAATTGCATCAATCTAGAGAAAAGAGGCTACATTCCTGCAGAATCCTTTTATTACTGTTGCTCAGGAGCACCATTCCTCATGTATTGAGAATACCTGGCCTTTGGGATGAGATTGGATCTGATCTAATAGTTTGTATATGCGAAACAAACATTTTTGCATTGTAATGGGAGGCTTGTCGTGACTCTTTCTTCCCACACCCACATTCTGAATGCTGAATGAGAATGTGCCTGTGGTTATAAATCAAAGTGGCGATCCAGAGTTTGCTCTCTCCTTCTCCTCCCCAAATCTGAACTCTGAAGCTATCTGTGTGGCACTACCCACAAGTATGTGACATTAGTTTTCAATTTAGCTTTCAGCTGTTTCTAGATACAGGCCACAATCAAAGAGGATTAAGTGAGATTAATTTACTGGAATCGGGGGGGGGGGGTTAAGAATGTTTAGTCTAGGTTGGGTGACTGCTGTTAGGTGGAATCAGAGATCCTATTTGTTCTTTTGTGTTAACTTCTGTGGTCACCAGTGGTAGAAACCGAGCTCACACAGGGCGCCAGAAAAAAAGTTTGGGACATCATTTTCTATAGAGAGAGAATACTTGGACCAGAAGCATACAATAAAATAACACTTTCTTTCTCTATCCAGGCCTGAGTCAGCAGTTGGAAACGTGTACCAGGGCAGGGAGATATTTAGCTCCCGGAAAAACACTGCTTTTCCAGCTGTAGGTTCATTTCCTTCCTTCTTTTGGATGAATGACACATACATTTGTAAGGACAGCCAAGATAGGAGATAGAAATACCTATCAAAACTGGAAGGTCAATCCAGATGGTTCACAAAGCAACTGCAACAAGTATCAACAAGTATTGCCATTCTGGAAAGGGCTCATCAACATCTGATGTTGTCATCTTTCCCTTGGCAGGCTTCCCAAGTCCTCTTGTGAGAGCAATTGAGGGACAGACATGGGAACAGCTGGAGCTCTTGATGCCAGCCAAGAGACAAATTATGTCAGTGACTTGATTCTGAAGGAGCTCAGTAGGTCTGCTCTTAATTTCATATAGTTCACTGTGATGTAGCCTTTCTTTCCTTCTCAGCTGGGGGATTCTCTCTTCTGTGTATCTTTTCTATAATATAGATTTCCTCTCCCATATATATATACACACAGTGCACTTTTTCTCAGGGTAATACTTATTATGCTGCCAACTGAAGTTGCAAGCCATAACTGTGACATGACATAATCTAATTATTGTTTAGCCACAATCATCCATTTGTTGCGACATTTTCTCTCTCACACAAATGTCATTATTGTGTGGAAAAATCTATACCGGGAGTTTCATGCCTGTAAATAGGACAGTCACATGTATGTGTATAAGACATCACACTCAATCCAAACTACACATAGATCTCACTCGGAGAAAAAGGTATAATATAAATTCAACAAATAAATAAATATTGCTTAAAAAAGAAATTCAAAATGAGTGCAAGTAGAAACCTCATCTAAATTGAATCCCTAACATGTGTTGGAAATAACAACCTTCAAGCCTTCTCTAGTATTGTTTATCTATGATCCTGTTGCTTATTGTTTCCTGTATATATGTGCTGGTATGCAGCTTCCTTTATTCAATGGTTCTTGAGAAGTTGTATGAGGGTCTGCAGACCACAGATCATACCAAACAGACAGACTACTCAGGCTTCAGGTAACACACTTGCCTGCTGTTTTTGTTGTAAGAGATGTCCTGTCTGGATGGTACAGAGAATTATCTCAAACATATCTGAAACTGGACTGATAAGTTATGTACCTGTGTATGCTGAACACATGAAAGTTGTAAATAACCAAATATACTATTTTTTATCCAAGTCTACTTCATTTTTGTCTAATGATACAAAGCAAGATGTTTTATGGGAGAGTATATATACGAGGACACTGAAAGACACTTCTGAAGCACTGCTTTTTTATGCACTGGCAAAATCTGTTTTCCTAACAGATCAGAGATAACAGGTTATTCGGTCTAACAACTGAAACAATTGCCTAGCATAATTACATCTGGTTGTATACCAGAAGAGAAGATTCTACTCTAAAGGGTTTTTGGCTCTTCTCCGAAAGGCCATGCTTTTCTAAAAAGTTATGATCTTGAAATGGTGTTTTCCAAAAGGTTATGAATGCCATTTTCCAAAAACATGCGGTTTGGGGCATTCCCTCACTCCTTGCATGGTGGAACTTCTGTGGGGACGAAGTGTGAAGGTCCACCAAATGCCAAGCTTGATATGGATTTGTGCTCTTGCACTTACCTCTGGAGGGAAAAGAAAAGATACTAGGCTCTAGGTAGGCTTAAAGTAATGTGTAGTTTTGCTCTTGATCATTAGAACTGGAAGGGCAGCTGCCCTTGCATCAAAGCAAATCAGCCAGTTTACCAGCTGTTAGGATTTCTGTGAGTTCTAGGCCAAAGCATCTGCGGACCCACAGGTTGAGAATCACTGAGATAGATAGATAGATAGATAGATAGATAGATAGATAGATAGATAGATAGAGGAAGTAAACAACTGGTCCTCCACACTTGCAAGTTTAACCTTTGCAGGTTTGATTATTTGCAGGTTTGATTAATATGGTCTCTCTAGTAATCTGTATCCCTCCAGTGCAACTCTGTGTTCATATTCTGCCAGAAGTTGACCATAGAATTGTGCTGGCAGACCTGTCTAGGAAACTCTAGATCTTCCAACATAACTTTATGGTCAACCTCTGGCAGCTGTTGAGCATAATAGTCACATAGGTAGTTATTTTTTTTTAGTTCAATGAAAAATTTCACTGAAAGCTTTCCTATGCCACTACCATACCCTCCAGTTATCCTTTTTTGGTAGGAACAGTACTGAAAGACACATTATTCTCCATTTTCAGCTGCATCTAAAATGCCCAAGTTTCTCACTACAAGCAACAACAGACCTCCAAAGTGTGGCAGGGGAACATGGGCAGCCCCCCAAATGAATAAAGTCATCCACCCCCTTTTTCTAATATCTGCCCCAAAGCAGTTTAAACCAGCATTCTCTTTATTTAGAAGTATCCATTTTAAGGGCTAAGAATGTTTCCTGAATTAATTTTCTATCCTATTAAAACTCCTTGCTCTGTTGGCTTTTGCAGTGGACTTTTAACTGTGTCTGCTCATATTCTCCCAAAAGAGTGTCATTGAAGTGTTGGCTGATGCAGTCCTACAAAATGCTTTTGGACAGTTCATTGGCCTGTGGATTTCTGGTCCATGATGAGGATTGCAATGTGGGCAGAGACTCCAGTTCTGCCACCCGTTCCATGCTTTGATTTCACATTTGCCAGCTGCACTGAAAGTGCATAACTTGCCAGGTGCATAGCTCATATTCCTAGTCATGTAAGTGTTCATTTCGGTGTGTGGGGGAGGGCTGCTGGTCATGCTGTGCTTAGAATGTACATCACTTACCATGTTCACTCTGCTCCCCCAATGGTATTTGACTAATAAATGAAATATACCAATTAGAAGAGCATGAAATAAAAGTTATGAAAGCAGCCTTACGAAAGTTAGCACCACTGATGCTAACTTTGAGATACACACACACACATACATTCAGGGTGAAGCAGCATAACTTCCTTTTTTAAAATGCGCACCATTCAGTCGCTTGAAGATGTAGCGGAGCGCTAGTGGTCTCATTAGAGAGGTGGGAGTATAAAGTTTTGTCCTGACACAGTTCAGTCACCATCATGCACTGGAACAGTGAGGAGCATGCTTTTGCCATTGAGGCCTACTTTTCGAGTGGATTTGGAGTGGCCAGCCTGTTCTCCAGATTTGGCCCCTTGTGATTTTTTTCTATGGGTTTTTTGAAACTGTCCACTGTCCAAGGACCCTACAAGATTTGAAGACCAACATCCAGGAAGAAATTGCCAACATAACGCTTGCTATACTGGCAAGAGTCATGACAAACGGCAGAAATCGGTTTACTCAGTGTATGGAGAATGGAAAATGGGGGATGTCACCTACCTAATTTAATGCAACTACATTATAAAAACATTTTCTGATTCATACAATGGGTTTTATTAATTTTTGAAAAAAGGAAGTTATGCTGCCTCACCCGGTGTATGTGTGTGTGTGTGTGTGTGTGTATGTATATATATAAAAGAGGCAGTCAAAGAGGCACTTCAGTTAAAATTAAATAGAGTTAGGAAGGCTGTTATTGTACTGAACACTGGTAAATTTCAGTATAGGCAACTCCAAATGTTGTTTCCAAGACAAATTAAAAAACAAATTTTAATAATTTTTAGTGATCCGTATTTATTTTCACCAAAAAAGGAAACAATTTCATGCACAACTTTTGAGCTCATAAAACAAATTGTTTCCCCTGCACAAGAGCACCTCCAGTTATAATATAACATCAGAGAAATAAAAATGGAGGGGTCAAGAACAAGCAAAATAAAAACACTATTTTTTTCCTGATCTGTTCAAATCAAGTGTCTTTTCAGATTTATGGCTTTTGTAACTAGTTCCAAAGTTTGGATGAATCCGTAATTCCCCTGTCGCCATTTATCAACCTTTGTCGGCTGCATGAAAGCAAAATGGCAAAGCTCTTAAGAGAAATAACTTTTGTCATTATGGATAGTGAAAGGCTCTGGTGCAATTTAGCACATTTTCAAATCAACCAATGCATGTTTACTTGGAGGTTCTTATTGTGTTCAGAGAGTGTGCATTATATTGTGCCCCATCTCTAAAGCGATGTTGGAAATGCAGAGCAAAAGCCATCAATTCACCACCCCTTTAAGATAAACTGTGTTCTATAAATATAAAACCTTGATACAAACAGATTTATATATATATCTATATATATATATCTATATATGTATAAAATATCATCTTCAAGGCACTAATGTGACGGCAGAAATTGGTTGGTAAAACTTCTTTAGCAGTCTTATGTTTTCCAAGCTTGTGGTGTTTTGGGTGATATCATGTGCTGATTGGGCAACTTTATATGGAAATCTTTCTGCATGGGCTGCCTAGTCCCGGAGCTGGCATGCCTTGATCGTTGCCCATCCATTTGTTTCCATCAGCTGTCCTGGAAGTCTCACTGTTTCTTTTGGCCATAGGTACATTACACCAGTTGTTCTTGCTCTGTTTTGTAATGACATCTTAATCTGTTTTGCTGCTGCCATGAAGATATAGCTGTCGTGCATAGATCACATGAAATCTCAGTGCTCTCCAGATTTTCTTCCATGGCCCTATGCCAGCAACCCCATGCGGGTCACTTTTGCAGAGAGGAATGAGTGGATGATGAAGACAATTGTTTTAGGGCAGGAATGAAGATCGAGTTGCTGCAATGAAAAGAAAGATGGACAATAATAAGCGGTTTATTCATAACATTTCACTTTCCTGTATTTTCCCCAAACTTTGTCCTTTACTAAATGTTGTTGATCAAAGAACAGGGACTAAAGAAAGTGGAAGACTTTGCTGATGGCTTTTACTAACTGAAAAATGTCACATTACCAGAAGTCATGTTCATTCTCATGAGATGGCAATCCCTGGATGAGGGCAAACAAATTGAAATTTAATCAAGACAAGACAAAGGTGCTCCTGGTCAATCAGAAGGCAGATCAGGAATTAGGGATCCAGCCTGTGCTGGATGGGACGACAGTCCCCCTGAAGATACAGGTCTGCAGTTTGGTGGTCCCCCTGGAGTCAGTGTTGAATCTAGAAGCTCAGGTATCTGCAGTGGGTGGGAGTCTTTGCACAATCAGATCTGGCCATAGTGGTACATGCCTTAGTTACATCCCATTTGGATTACTGTAACGTGCTCTACGTGGGACTGTCTTTGAAGAGTGTTCGGAAACGGAAAAAACACCCTATCATTCATTTACAACTCTGGGATGACATCAGCATAAAATATTGCTATGTAAGAGACCTTTATTACAATTCAAAAACTGCGGCAGACCGGAGAAGTGTGGTCCACCCGCTGCTCTTCTCCATGGGAAGGAGAGAGCTAGTGTATGTATTTGAGAGTGGCAGATCTGCAATGGAAAGCAGGTGTCTGGTCACTTGGGCTCCTTTTCTCAAGGGAAGAGAAAGGAGTGCGATTTTGGAGTTTTGGACTTCGTGCATGGAGTTAGGTTCTGTTGTATGGAAAACAGAGATCTGATCTTTGTGCTTACAGAAATAGGGTGCATTTTGGCATTTTGAAGTTTAGAAGTTTTAGAACTATGGGTTGACAGATTTACAAGAGATGTTCTTCACAGAGGAAGAATGGTGAAATGGTGATGTATGCATGGTGATGGATGAATGTTTGTATGGGTAAGTGAACGTTGAGTAAAAATATAATTCCCCTTTGTTTGTTAGTCAATGTAGCTTGAGGTTCTTTATGAATCAAATGTAGTTACATAGAATCTTTATGTCTAAATGTTGTTCTGTAAAAGTTCTGATAACCGTTCTCTTGCTGGAAAATGGCAATAAAAAGAACCTATGCTTTAAAGTTATTGAAAAGTTATTCATAACATGGCTACAGGGAGTAGACAACCCTCCTATTGCAGCAGCTCCACCAGTCTATTCCCAGGCACATTCAAAGTGGTCATTATGTCCTTTAAAGCCCTATACGGCTCAAGTCCAGGCTATTTGGCTGACTGTATCCCCTTGTATGAACCTGCCTGGACCCTGAGATCTTCAGGAGTGGATCTTCTCTCAGTCCCACCTCCATCTCAAGCTTGGTTGATAATGAGAGAGTGGAAGTTCCTTCTCAGTGGCTGCCTCTCCACTCTGGAAATCCTTGGCCAAGGAAGCCAGAATGGCCTCCTTCCTGCTGTCCTTCTGGCGGCAAGCTAAAACATTGTTATTCAGGCAGGCTTTTAAAGATGAAAGTGTTTTAAGATTAAGTCAGGGGCTGTGATTTTTAATTTGGAATATGTTTTATGGATTTAACTAGATTTTTAAAATACCAATGATATTTAATTCTGTTCTAATGTTCTTTCCCCAGATTCCTATGCCTTCCACCCCCATGATCTTTCATGATAAACAAGTCACCACATCTATTATTTAAAAAAGTTTCCTTCCACTCTTTTTCACTGTCTGGCTAACTTCTTCCCAGATCCAAGGTCATCCAAACCACCTCAGAGACAAAGCTGCCCTGTTCTCCAAATCCCATTGATCCCACCCCTTCAATCCCTGCAGGAATCTATCGAAAGAACAGTCAAAGAATGTAAACCTACAATCTCTCCTTCTGAGCTGCCAAAGTCCAGGTAAAGCATCTTGGCTCCATCATCTGAGGACATCTGGAGTCTCTCAAAAGGTTGCTGTAGCAGGATGACTTTGGCGAGGCCTGGCTCCAGAGAAGAGATCGTGAAACCCTTATCGATGTGGATGGACAGGGTGCAATCCCTCCCATTCCATGTACATGCTGTGGGATGGAGGGGGAAAAAACAAGATCAAAAGATGGCCTGTGCTTAATGTGACATTGCTTTCTTGGGGTTACCATGATTTTTTTTAAAAACAGGACACATTTATGAACTACTTTAAAACATCACTTGAATTCTTACTTCCCCTAGTACCCCTAGAAACTCTGGGCAGTTGTAAGATTTACTGCATCTCAACAGACAAGGCAGTGTTTAATTGCAGAGGTATGTATATGGTAAATAAATGCAATAAAACATAAGGTGGGCAAGAAAAGGATTCTGTTCTAGCCAGCCCTATTGTAGTCATGTGTGCCTGCCTCACTAGAGGCAAGGTAAACAGCAGCTGTCTCCAATATGTATGTACAACAACATAGACAGAAAGGAGAGAGCAGTTGAGTCCAATCAGCTACCTGCAGCATGTCAAAAAAGATAAATGGAGAATCATAAGAAAAGTGGAGGCTAGTGAAAGAAGAAGTCATCCTTCGATGCATTTTGGAAGAAGAATTCAAGTTCAAAAGAGGTTTTCTTTACTTATGTAAGTTTTAATTGACTCATTTTCTTCAGTCATTCATAGACATTTTTAGTTTAGAATAAAAACTAATCACAATGTGGTCAATTGCTTTTATTTTTTTGTGGTGCAGAAACCTATACCTATTCTAACAATGTTATTTCTGCCTCTGGTAACAAATTTTCTGTTAAAGTGATACCTAGGAACACATGTACTTTATTAACTGTCATATAACTCTACTGTTAAAAAAACACGTTTTTGTGTCAGTGCTGGAGTGCAAAACTGTGAAGTGGGAGACTATCTGAAACAGATGAGCCTATACTTTCAGTTCCACCCACAAAACTCAGATGTGAGTCCCCAAGTCCCCATTTGCTTCCTGACCTGTTGATACTTCCTGGACGCATTCGGCTGCATTGTGGCAACCATCCACTAGCATCCTTGTCCACATGGCCAGGTCCCGATGTGTCTCAACACTAAACAGATGGGTCTCCACGCCCTTCTTGGTTCCAGTCCGCAAAGCAAAAGAGAGTTCTGAATCATAGAGAAGGGAACCCTTGGATGGGCCAGAGTGCACCAGTCTGCATGGATTGGGGAAAGGAATTGAAAATATTTCAGTGAGGAATCCCTTGACTCTCTAAACTATATTGTATTTAAATACTGATTGTCTATATGAGTGCATTGCTTGCCTGGCTGGGATGGTGAAAGCTGAACAATTTGGAAGGAGAAATAGTGCCCCAGAAGTGTGTGTTGAGATGGATAAGCAGGAATACCAAATTCAGCAAACAGCAAGCAGGATTCATGGCTCTTTGCCCCAAATTGGAAGTAGTCCTTCTTATTTTCTCAAACAACTTGAGTTTCAGAAACTGCCTAATCCCATTTTTCCTCCTATCCCACACCCATTCATCTCCATTTTGATACAATTTATTTGTCCAGGGCAGCTATAGTCATGGCATTCCAGATGCAATAAGAGAGAAAGATGGCTTTTGGTTTCTACCTTTGTCCTCTCATTATGAGTACCAGAAGGTTGGTATCCCTGGCTACATTTCCCCCCAGGGGCTAATTCAATAGTGATGCCTATCAGCTGGTGAAGTTATGCTTGTGTGTGTGTGTGTGTATTGGGGGAGGGTGTTATCAGGGTCTAGGACAGGAGGAAGAGTCTGGAAATCACATCAATTAATCAAATGTCAGGAGCAAATGCTTATGGAACATGTCCATACAGTCTGGAAAACTCACAGCAACCCAGTAATCAAAGTCTGTGAAGCATTTTTATACTGAGAAAGATTATCTCTATTCTTCTTCAGTGAGAAATACTAATGCAAAAACATTGTTTCTGTGCCCCAACCACACTGTCTGTCTTTACCTGACGATTGCATCAGGGAGTGCCACAGTGATTTAATGGAGTAATAAACCATTAGAAGCAAAGATGTCTTACCACAGAACAACTCTGGCAACTTAATCCATATTCCCTCCTGCCCACAGAAGTTGTCTAATTATTGACCCCTCAAGCAAGTACAATATAGTATATAGTGCTTGTTTGGATATGGCCTATGTTTTCTGGATTTACACTTCCTAATTATAGTCAAGGCATCACACTTTTCAAACTAAGTCTGAAACCCCATAGGTGCTTTTCCAAATTACAGAAATGCAGAGGTTTACTTGTGTATTAACAGGCTGCAAGTGATCTGCCAACTGACAGACCTATTATGGATTATAAAGTGAATCCAGGGAGCAGCATGAGCTCCAGCATCTAGCCCCAGCTTCTGCCAACCTAGCAGTTTGAAAACATGTAAATGTGAGTAGATCAATAGGTACTGCTCTGGCGAGAAGATAATGGCACTCCATGCAGTCATGCCAGCCACATGACCTATGTCTATGGACAACACTGGCTCTTCGGCATAGAAGTGGAGATGAGCATCAACCCCCAGAGTCAGACATGACTGGACTTAATGTCAGGGGAACACCTTTACCTTTATTACCTCATATACTTTGCTTTCTAAAAGGTATACCTCAAAGAGATTTGTTTAACTTGCATAACTGAAGTATGTGTCACACACATACTCACACACCTGTATTTGACGGGTACACTATCAAGAGAATAGAAGAACAATTTCCTACAAATATGTGTGTATAATACACAAATATATTAGGAACTAGTTATATCCAATAATGGCCACAAGAGGTCTCTCTAATACTACTTGTTACTTGAGATGCCCCATATTCGAGTGATAGGAGAAATTGTTTGTCTGTGTCTCTATCATCTATCTATCAAGCAAATCAACCAGATCTGTTGCCCAGTAAGAAGGATATGGGGACTTTTACCAACTCTACATATTTCCTGCACTATTGAATATGTAAACAGACCACAGCATCGTACCGGAGAACCTATAGATTCCTAGAGATGTGTTCTCTCAAATAAAAAAGAATTGTGTTTTCAAATTGTGGTTCTACTTTTGCAGGGTGCCTGCACCCCTAAATCCAGCAAAACACCTGCTGTACTAACTTTTCAAAACCAAAAGTCCAGTTTGTTTTTCATGGGCCCCTGCAAGGTCTTGGGGCAAAACTTAACTCTCAAGCCCACCACAGTTCCATGCTTGTGTCATAAGGACTGGGTTTAGAAGAACAGCCATTTGAACCTATTTGCATGATGTGTGGAAAAGGCATCTCTTTTATTTGTTCTAAAAATACATTCTGTTATAACGGGAGGGGATTTGCTACACACAGGTGCCAATAAGTTCCATCTGTAGCAACATTCTCCAAAAGTGCCAATACGTTTTATCTGTACCAACATTGTCTAAGCTGTTACAGTGAGAGGATTAGGGAGGCTATGTAGGGGGTGTGTGGGAGGAGGCAACAAGAGATGGAGCACAGCATCTCCTGGAGCTAAAATCTGGGACCGTTTGCCAGAGAAAGCAGCTATTTCCAGACTCTGTCCCACAGGTGCCAATGCAGAAAACAGGACTTCAGACTGTGTTACCTGGTAGCTATGAGGGGGAAGCTGTGTGTTGGCTTGCCGAGCGCATCTCTACTTTGTGGAAGGCAGCTGTAGAAGAGAAGTTCCTTCTCTGTGAGAATGGCAAGGATGTTCTTTGTCCCATCACCAGGGAGCTAAAAGGAAAGGGAACCATCATTGAAATGCAGAATGGTGAGCTACATCCAATTTCTTGCTTTATCTAAAAAGAACACTGATGGAGATTTCATTCTTGACTACCCTGAGATGCTTGAGATCAGGGTTCCTGGTACATATGAGGAGTTGCTTTGGATGCCTTTCTTGTCCAAAAAGTAAGGGAAAGGCAGTAAATACCTGTAAATATGGTGCAGTTTTCCAAACAAGAACAGATTTCTTAAAAAGACAACAGATTAAAAAACTCAATTACCATGAGTTCTGTGATAATTATGGCCAAAGTAGGTCCAGCTCTGTTTTGCCCATTTTGTACCATTTTAGAACCTCTTCATTACCCTTTCCCCTTATGGAAATAGTAGAGCTTTTGTATCTACAAATACAAGAGATCACTCATGGTAGCTCAGTTCAGTGCTTTGCCCTCTGGCTTTGTTACCTGGCCATTAAAAACATTAAATTAAATCCATAGTTAAGCATTCAAAATTTATTTATAACATGTACAACACTAGACAACAACTGACAAAATATGGTACAATCGACAGCATTTAATACTGGGTCCAGCCCCATGCAATTTGCAATACAGATACTCGATATATTCCTTTGTTTCTTGTCTTCTCTATCTCTGCCTCGTCTTGCCAAGGAGGGAAGTCTCTTCAGAAGAAGGAGGCTGCTGTGAATGCTGTAGGACAGGGCTTCTCAGGCTACCGGATGCAGTGGACTAGCATGGTTGTTTCCCAGTATGCCAGGGACCCTTACTCTATTTGTAGTCACTGGCTACAACTGTTCCTTGCTTTTGTGGAAAGCTGTTGTGGATCAGCAGCCAACGGCTCATGGATAAACATTGGCACTGAATAACACTGGTCTGGGAGTCTGTGAAGTGGTGGTCACATACTGAATAAAGGAATCTAAGTCTCTGCAAAGTTCAATAAATTTGTCTCTTAAAACTGTTGAGCTCCCAGTTAAGGGTCTATCCCAGGCATTCTCAAACCAAACCAATGCTCATCTTTGCTCCAACACTTGATTTCAGTACAGTGTAGTAGTTGAAGCATCAGGCAGTGACATCTCTGGCCCATCCCCTGTTCGTATATCAGCCAGTACGCCAATGCCTTAAATCAAGAAATAGTTTGCTAAGATCTACAGAGATAATCGCAAGAACACCTCAGCAAGCGAGAGTCCAAAAGTAGCAGGCTAAAACCCAGCACCTCAATCCATGGCTGATACCAAATGAGAGACTCCCTCCTGGGCACACAGAAGACTGGGCAACTTAGAAGGCACTGAACAGACTGTGCTCTGGCACCATGAGATGCAGATCCAACCTCAAGAAATGGGGCCACAAAGTGGAGTCCATAACATGCAAGTGTGGAGAAGACCACCTATTACAATGCAGTCTGAGCCCTGCCACATGCACAATGGAGGATCTTCTTATAGCAACACCAGAGGCATTCCAAGTGGCCAGCTACTGGTCAAAGGACATTTAATAGAATGCCAAGTTTTTAAACTTTGTGTTTTCTCAAATACATTGGTTCGCTCCCAATTCAATAAATAAATAAAGCATCAGACTACAACTTTGGAGACCAGAGCTGAAGTTCCCATTTGACCATGGAAATCTACTGGGTGACCTTTGGCAAATCACACTCTTTCAGTCTCAGGAACAAAGACATCCCCCAGACCAAATTCTGCCAAGAAAATCACATGAGAAGCCCTTAGGATCTCCTCAGACAGAGGTGGGACATTGTCGTGGTATGTCTTAAAGATACATTATTCTGTAATGAATGTCAGCCCCTTTACATTTGACTCCTTTCCCCTAATTTGCCTACTTAAATTATCTCTAGGAATATAGAAAGCTGTTTTATATTGAATTAGATCACTGACCAAACTAACTCACTACTCCAGTGATTAAAAAAAAAGTACAAAGAGATGTCAAGAACTGGATCATCTACATATAAATACCTGTTCTGCCTCTGAATACTGCACTCACATTCTTCTTAAAACAACAATGACCAATGCTATTGATCCACCTTACCAGTCACACAAATGATTGTAGTGCAACTCAAGTGTGAAGGTGAATGGGCTGTCTTACTTGTAGGTCGTGTTGGAATAACAGAATCATAGAGTTGGAAAAGATGTTGTGGGTCATTCAATACAACCCCCTACCAAGAAACAGAAAAACTGCATTCAAAGCACCCCCGACAGATGGCCTTCACTCCCAACAGATGGTGTTCTTCTCCTGGGGACCTGCACCACTCAGATCCATGAATCCCAGCCTTACCTGCTCAGTGAGCCAGCCAACATGCTTGATGTCTCTACTTCCCGCAATGCCAGCTCCAGACTGTAAGGCCCTCAGCTCCTCTCTCACTCTTGGCAACAGGGCACTGATGTTGCTGTGAATGGCGTTGAACCATGCCTGGGCAGATGCTTCATCTTTCGCTCGAAGAAACAAGGGAATTCGCCCATCTGCTGAGCACACTTCTAGGTATCTGCAGGGAGACTCTCCTGTAACCTGAAACTGAAATCCTTCTGGCAGTCCAAAATGACAAGCTTTTGTCACAGCAAGGGACTGTAATTCTTCCCGTATTTCAGACTGAAAAGTCTTCAAAGAGATGGTTCTCAATCACAGAAATCCTGCATTTCAGGTACTTCCATGATCTGAACTGGTCACCCTGTCTCTTTTTTTGAGAAAGCAGGAACTCAGAGTAAAAGTTTTTTCTATGTCTTATGCACTGATCGGATTTTCCCCTTGGAGATAACGGCATATACATATGAACCCACTGAAGTTTTATTAGGTCTCATATTTAGTCCAACATATATTTATTTATTTACGATATTTCTATCCCGCCTTTCTCAAACCTGAAGATGACTCAAGGTGGCTTACAACCCAGCAGCCATTAGAAGATATTATGATATAATATCTCATTTTAGGACCAGCCCAGAGTATTATATTGGTAATATATATATATATATATATATGTGTGTGTGTGTGTGTGTGTGTGTGTGTGTGTGTGTGTGTGTATGTATGTGTATATATATATGTATATATATATATATATATACAATAAAACGTGTTAATACTACAAGTGTTCAGAGTACAGGTTGAATATTCAAAGATCCTAAATACGTCAAAATTATCTACAGATTGTGACATCTTTCTGAAGGTTGAGTATACACAAACTTGGTTTCATGTATAAACGTATTAAAATATATAATTATTTTCAGGCTATTGTTATAACTTATATTGGAAACATAAATGAATTTTGTGTACAAACTGAGGTCCCATCTTCAAGATATCTCACTATGCAAGTATATGCCAATACGGGTATTCCAAAATCTTTATTTTTAAAAAAACCAAAATGCTTCTTCTGGTCTCAAGGATTTTGGATAAAGGATCCTAAATAAAGGAAGTGCCTTTAGGAAATGGCACTACAAAGGCAGGCCACTATTCTTAGTTGCACATTAAAAATACTGATAGATAACTGAGGCTCAAAGAATAGTGGCTTCATGGTGGTCACATCTGAATCATACATTTCTAAGGCCACAAATCATTCTTCTTTGCTACTATATTAACCCAACTAAGTTTGTATTACAATGAGAATGTGGTTCTAGTTTAATACAGAAGGTTTTTTAATGAATAGCAAGACAATCTAGTGTATTTTGGGAACTCTGTGTTTCTCTCTACACAGAAACATGCACACACATATATGTATCTCTTTTTTAATTGTCATCCACATTTGGGGTGATAAGAAGTAAATTTTTAATTAAAAGGCTGTAGATCTATGCCATTTATAAATAGCAGACACAGAGGGATGGAAACAAGCTTTCAGAAAGGCTGTTCATACTCCATTTACCTATAAATAGACTAACTATCAGTATGACTCTGTACAAGACTGGATTTCTAACAATCACTTCAAGTTAACTTCCTTGCTTATTAGTTGTATTAATCCAGGGGTCCTCAAACTTTTTAAATAGAAGGCCAGATCAGAGTCCCTCAAATTGTTGGAGGGCCGGATTATAATTTGAAAAAAGAGTGACTGAATTCCTATGCACACTGCACATATCTTATTTGTAGTGAGAAAAAAACACTTAAAAACAATACAATAATTAAAATGAAGAACTTTTTTTAACAAATATAAACTTATTAGCATTTCAATGGGAAGTGTGGGCCTGCTTTTGGCTGATGAGATTAGATTGTTGTTGTTGTTGTTGTTGTTGTTGTTGTTGTTGTTGTTGTGTGCTTTCAAGTCATTTCATACTTCGGTTGACCCTAAGCAAGGGCTAGGTAAATGACCTTGGAGGGCTGCATCCGGCCCCCAGGCCTTAGTTTGAGGACCCGTGTATTAATCCTTTATCCAACAAGAATTAGACTGCTACTCCTATCATCTCTGACCATACTGCAAAGTCAACTACTCTTGACCTTTAATCTGTTGTATTTCTACAGAGATACCAGAAGAGCATTGAAATCACTGCGACAAAATCTGAGACTCATGAACTTTGGTGGGATGACTAGGTTACCTGTTTTCTGGATCACTGGGGAGGCATTTCCTTGATATGTAGCACATCCTTAAGGGAATGTTCTTCCCTTCTTTCAGGTCTCGTAGCGAGAGGGAAGGAGAAGCTTGCTTCTGAAAGGCTGCTGGTGAAGAGTCCCAACTTACAGTTGCACCAGTTGAGGAATTTTTAAAGTAGGGAGAGATTTCTTTCATGTATTTAACTGGAACAGAAAAGCAGATAAACATTCAGCGGTGCATTTAGAAGCCAAGTCCAGTTTCACACAAAAGAAGGGAGAGGAGATCGTTGGAGTTACTTATCAACAATTAGCAAATACATAAATCACCTGGTCAGTGTTTTCATCATGTTGGTGAAAATAAATGTTTCAGTTTCATTGATAAGAATCGTGACAATATTGGTATCTAAATCAGCATAAGCACATTTGATACAAGTCTGGTTGTAACCATACAGCAAAATTATAGCATCTCAGTTCCATTTTAATTGCCATGGCTATGACCTATTTTTACTATTTTTACTTTGGCAAGGAATTCTGTAGTATGATCTCCTAAAATACAGTGTAATTGCTCTTTGGCACAGTGCTCTCAGTATCACGCTGCACTATACATCCCAAGATTCCACAGGATGGAGACAAGGCAGTAAAAATCCTATTAAAAATTGTACAGTCTGGATACACCTTCTGTCACTGTTTGTTCTCTTCTTCTCTAAATTAAAGGAAATTCCCATCCATAGTGACTAAAGCTTCTAAATGCATACAGATTTATTGTGGGTTTAAAAAAACCCTTAAAAACTTTGTTTTCCTTATAAACTAGCCAAAATGTGCTTTTTGTTTTTAAATTGGTTTATAATATGAATGTAGAATGCATGTAGAATTTATCCTGGTAAAAGCAAGTCAAGCAGTACATTCTGAAACTGACTGTTATAGCACAAGGGCTGCTGTGGTCTCCATTTGTCTTAAGAGGTAGGTTATGAACTCATAAAAGCATGTGCATCAATGAATGTTTCGGCTACTGAGGAATAAGAATAGAGTATAGGCTGGACCGTGAAGAGGTACTGGGTCAAGTCCTGCCTGGAAAAGTGATGCCAATAATAGGAAGATTTATTTGGACTGTCACAGAACACTTGGAGGAATGGAGATCAACACAAATGGAATATGAACTGGGGATACAGAGAGAATGAATCAGAAAATCTAAATGAATTTTGATCATCCTTGTTGTATTGTTCAAACTTCTGACTTTGTAACTTTTGTTGCAACAGACTAACAGGGATACTTCTCTGAAATGCACAAAAAGTTCACAGCCTCTAAAGCAGTGGTTCCCACCCTGTGGTCTGGGGACCACCAGTGGTCTGCAAGAATGAAAATATGGTCTGTGGCCTCACCATTACTACACCATTGCCTCAAAACCATACAGCAATGAGAGCAACTGGTTTTGTGAAACCCTCTTATAGTGCCGAGGCAATGGGGATGTTGAGAAGGGAGAGGCTGACTATCCACGAAAGTTTACTACTACCACATCAGTTCTAGATTATTAAATATGGTGTTTTGTGGGCAAGCAGATAGAGACTACTGGATGGCATATGTTCTGTATCAGAAATAAGAGCTGATGTGGTTGATCCAATGCAATTTTCTGAATCAGTACCCCAAAAAACCAAACCAAATCTAAAATTGACCAACAACTGATTTGTAACCCTTTTGGTACTGATATTGGAGAGTGGTCCCTAGTCAATATGGTCCATGGTAAAAAAAAAAGTTGGAAAGAATCCTGATTTGGCAGGCAGAGTATAATTTGATCCTCTGTTGTTCCTCTCTTCCAGCTGCATTTAAAATGTCCCAGTTTCTATGTCTACCTCCCACTGTCCCCTGTTTTTCACCAGCTTACTTCAGTGGCTGAAAACTTCTTCAGTGTACAAAAATAGTTTGCATTCAAAGGACAAAGGAGATCAAATCCTTCCCTTTCCAGTAGGCTCAATCAAAAGCAAACTGCTGCAGCCTCTCCTAGCTTCTGTGTTCTTCCTAACCAACAATTTTACCAATGTGACCACATACTAATGTCACTTGTCCACATGTGACCTGGTTTTCATCTGTGACATGTTGGTATGTATAGTACTGTACTTTTTATATCTCTTTTATGCTACAAGCCATAACAAACTTAAAAAAACAGAGTTCTCCATGCTTTTTAATTTTTTTCCTACCTGCTGTAACAACACCCATACATGGCAGGGATGGAAAGAGAATTAGTTTGGGCTGCAATCCATGATACACTTATTTGGGACTCTGTCCTATTTGCATTGCATTTATTGCAGACTGCCTTTTGAATATTCATGAATCAGATTACACTTTTAGCTAATTACATGAAACTGGTCTTTGCACTCTGTGCTTTATCTTATTTTTGATGTGAGATAATTTCCAGTTTTGGCCAGGGCTGATAAATGTGAGTGTTGTTCCTCTCGCCTCAATGCAGTTATTTAAAAATGTCTTCAAGAAAAGTCAAATCTCTGGAGAACATCCTGTAAAATGGAGCCTCTGAAAGGCTGCTTCACCCAGATGAACCTTTGGTGAAGATGTAGCAACATCTAACTTAGGGGAATAAGTGGTTTTTAAGGCACTTGTCTATCACATCAGTGTCTGAAAATAAATGCCAACCATGTAAATTGTGACATTCCTTTCAAATTTGTTTTCACATACCAGAATGACAAGTCTGCAGCTGTGTTACTGAAAGGCAACACAACATTTGGCCCCAAGTAACTGCTGAGATTTGAACTGCACAGCATTCAGCTAGAAGTGAAGGAATGTTGCCTTTCTAAGGTTGTACGTGCCTCCCTAAAAATTCCTTGAACAGAAAAAATAACACATCAATCTGGTTTTTGGGTGCTACCTGCATAAAACTCCAATTCCTCATATGATTATTTGTAAGTAAAAGAAAAACAAACATGCTCTTTCAGAGCTAGATAGCAAGAGCATAAATATTTGACTATTTCATCTTTGAAAATGAATATGAAAACATTTCTGCAGCTTTCTCTTCTCACTGTGGGAGAAAACAAATACAGTGCATCTGGGAAGTGCTTGCCTTGTATTTGCACATCACAAAGTGTGTTTAGGAAATTATTCTGCACAGAAATGCATGTGGGATTATATGTAAGAACTATGACTGGAATCTGTTGATTAGTCTTAAACAGAATATACACATTCAATCAAGTGTTGAATATAGTGAGTCAACACACAGGTAATTCCCATTGATTCAATAGGTCTAATCTGGTTAGGACTAAAAACAAAATGTAATGCAAAATCACTGTTGCCCCACATAGCCAAAATAATTYAGTTTTTTGTGAAACACCCCTCCCCTCCCAGKAATTTAACACAAAAACCCGATGGAAAGAGTGGTTTTAATGCAAAATCAGAATTCTGATGTCCAAAACGTCTTGCTTTAAAAACAAACCCAAGGGGACTTTGAACAAAAATTGTGGTTTCTGCATAAAACCCCATGATTTTTGCAAAGTCGTAGGCTTGGAAAAATGTTTTTGCATAAAAAAAAAACTACAGCGTTCATAAACACACACACACACAGAAACATTCCAGTATTTCCAGAAACCCRCCAGAACCCCCRCCCCCCCCCCCACTAATTTTCTGCATAGACACAAACATGTAGCTAAATTCTGCCTCCATGTTATTTACAGAATCAAAGAGTTGAAAGAAACCAGAGAAGCCATCCAGATTTCTTCCACTCAGGGTTTTAAATGTTGGGAAAACTGTTTTTCAGTTTGGAAATACCTAATGGTGAATATTCTTTCCATCCCAAAGAGAAAGACATGAGAGAGAGAGAGAGAGAGAGCATGTGCATCTGCACTGTAGAATTAATGCAGTTTGACCCTATTTGAACTGCCATGGCTCAATGGAATCATGTAGTTTTTCAAGGTTTTTAACTCTGTCTGCCAAACTACAGAGGCAATCTCAATAAATTGTCTGCCATGCACTTTTTCGGCTGCTTTGAAAATGTCCCAGTTTTTCTCCCTTCCCTCCAGTTCCTCTCCTTTGTCCTTGACTTATTTTGTCTGTTGCAGACTGAGTTTAAAGTGCAAAAGCACTTTGTTCTCAATTAATTATTGGGTGGAGGATGAGAACAGAGGGGTAAAATCATGCTCTTCTCTCTCCGTGTGTGTGTGTGCATGCACACACACCTTTATGCTTTCCTGTCAATTATGATGACCCTATAAATTTCATATGGTTTTCTCAGGCAAGGAACATTCAGAGGTGATTTGCTATTGCTCCCTCTGAAATACAGACAGCAGTACCTGATACTTCCTAGGCTCCTTCCACACAGCCCTATATCCCAGGATATCAAGGCAGAAAATCCCACAATATCTGCTTTGAACTGGAATATATGGCAGTGTGGACTCAGATAACCCTGTTCAAAGCAGATATTGTGGGATTTTCTGCCTTGATATTCCGGGATATAGGGCTATGTGGAAGGGCCCTTAGTGATCTACCATCCAAGTTCTAACTGAGCTGGCCCTCTTTAGCTTCCAATATTAAATGGCATCTTGTGCCTTCAATGTGTTGGTCTTTGGCAAAAGTAAAGTGCTGTAGCCTCTCCTGGCCTATGTGTCCTTCTTCAGAAACTTTTGCCACTTTGACAACACATTGATGTTACTTGATCATATGCATCCTTGTTTAAATCTGTAGAATATTGTAGTGTATCAAATGTTTGGGATTAAACCACCAGTTTTAAAATATGAACATAATGTATGATACCTATCTTCCTAAATATTTTCTTTACCCAAACTATATCGAGGATATATTTACATGCAGACTGACAGACACAAGTCCTGGCTAAACTTCCGTGAAGACTTCAACAACTTTCACCCCATTATCAACTTGAAACCAAACAACTCCACATTATTTTACTTTCCAAGCATTAACTGGAAATTACAAAATGGAAATATAACCTTTGCTTAACATTGGAAAACAAAAATTGCTAAGTGTGCCTCCAGTTAGTTACTATCAAAACACACTACAAAAGTTGTAGTGAGTGTGAGTTGTGGAGTACTTTTTGACATCAGGTAAAATCTCTGTGTAGCAGAGCATGACAGTAGGATTAGAATAGTAGTTGAGGATGTTGAAAAGGTTTCATACACCTCTTGTATTTCCTGACCCTACTGAGAACCTGCAATATCCCCACCCCCAAATGGGCCCAACTGACTAACACA